GTTGAGTTCACATGTTCACCTTCATCTTATATCACTAAACTATACAGAAGGCTATATGGAATAGGTCCATTATCTATATCTAGTTCATTTTATTATGATCCCAAGACCAGCATTAGCTGATTCGGGATGTTCTTAATTTATTAAAAATTATTATTATTTTTATATATTATTATATCCAATTGTGAATAAATGTAACTATTTAAAAAAAAAAAGAAAAAAATTCATGACTCTATTATTATTCTCCAATATCTCTTTGATATGGCCTCACAAGAAAATGCCTAAAGGTGTTAGGTCCGGTAAACTTGCTGGCCAGGGTGCATCCGAGGGTGATCACTATAGTACCAATCCATTATTCTTGGATTGGCAATCTTATTGAAACCAGCAATTATTTACAGCACCCAATGGAAAATTATCTAATGCATCTTCCAGATCTTGTTGTATAAGACGAATTTAGCATTCAGCAGTTAAAACCTTGGTAGATGACTGGACCTACAACGTTTGTGCCAAAACCCAGGGTTGGCCGATATATATCAAGTGATATATATCATGATATGTATCATGATATATATCTGATATTTATTGATTGATATATATCATGATATATATCATTTACTTCTTTTTAACAAAATAAATACCGGAGCAAAAAGTCCTTGATATTTTGCGTTAAAAATGAATACGTGACAACAATGCGTTTCGTGGTTATAACTTACAACTCGGGGAATCCCCGGTTTTTGTTTACTGCTTGTTACGTACATGGTACATCAGGCGTGTTCGTTCGTCCTTGCTCTACCTGCTGAACTCGATTTTTTTCTATGACTTACTTTGTTTACATCATTCCATGAACAGAGACAACTATGGAAAAATAATCAACTTTATCAAGTTTAGCAATACAAACGAACAGGCCTCACGCTTACAATGATTTGGTGGAAATCGGTTGCAATTCCTGACTCCGAATGGCCAAAAAAAGAACTCTTCTTACAACTATATGTGAGCAGTTATTCAGTGCAGTAGCGGCAACAGCTGGTTAAGGAAGAATTTTTTCGAGTTTTGGAATAGTTCAATCTAAATTAAGAAATCGTTTGGCAACGAAAAAGCCAGTAAGCTAGTATTTATTTTTAAATGTTTAAACCCAAATACAGATAAAAAAGCCAATAGCTTGGTAGAAGATGATAATATTGATAATGATGATTATATTCCTCTTTCTCGGTTTTGCAATCCTTAAAAAATTATCGAACAAGTTTTTTATATTACCATATATTACATATTCAAATTCAACTGAAGTTTGATTTTTTTTTTAACCAAAATAAAGGTATTTTATATTGTGTTTTTTTTTGGCATATCAGCCTAGGAACAAAATCGAAATTTCTGATATATATCGGATATATATCCGATATATATCCGATATTATGATATTTTGATATATATATAAATATGATGATATTTGCCAACCCTGCCAAAACCTCCACACAAAATTTTGAATCCGAATAGATGTTGGTATCTGGATGATCTCATCACACGTGGATTTTATTGTAACCAATAGTGTGTGTTGCCTGATGAAAATACCGTTATTGATAACCATATTTTCATTCATTTTGTTGGGGATAGCACCGGTGTGAGAGCAGCAACGAGACATCATCCAACAACGAATGAGATCAACACGAGCAGGCCGCAGAGTGACGATATCGATAAAACTCTTTCAAATCGAATAAGAAACGAAAATATTATGAATTTCACAATTTAATCTAATATAATAAATAGAAAACATTTCACATAACAAGATCAGATAGTTGTATGATTCTGTAGCATCCAGTCCACCCCTCTATCACCCTCTTATCAATATAATTCAAATTCCAACTTAGAGCTTTGGAAAGTATTTTTGGAAGACTGTAAAATAGCTTCCTTCAAATTCCAAATTGAAGCTTTGAATAGTATTTGTGAAAGACTTTTCTCTTGAAACAGATGTAAAATAGTTTCCTGAATACGATCAGATAGTTGTCTGGTTTTGTTGAGTGGCAAACAACTTCCATAAGAGTGTACACCATATTTTAAATATTTGGCATTCCTGAGTAATGGAGGTATTTAAAAGCTATTTTAGAGTACTTAAAATAATTAGTGGGTATAGAAAAATATTTAATATATTTAAGAAAAATAGAATATCTTGTTACAACAGGTGTTTTCATCAATAAGGACGCCTAGCAGTAGTAGAATAAAAATTTATTATATCACCCAATCTTCACCCCAAAATTTGAAGAGCAAATTGGAATCTGTCACACAACTGTCTGATCATGTTCAGGAAGCTATTTGACATCTGTTTCAAGAAAAAAATATTGCAAAAATCAATTCCTGACCTTTAAGTTGGAATTGGAATTATATTGATAAGAGGTTGAAACAGGGGTGGAATAGATGCTACAGAATCAGACAACTATGTGATCGTGTTCAGGAAGCTATTTGACATCTGTTTCAAGAGAAAAATCTTTCAAAAATTCTTTCTGAAGTTGTAAGTTGGAATTTCAATTATATCAATAAGAGGATGAAAGAAGGGTGGAATGGATGCTACAAAATCACACAACTATCTGATCTTGTTAAGTGAAGTGTTTTCTATTTATTATAGCTGATTAAATCATGAAATTCATAATATTTTCATTTCTAATTCTATTTGAAAGGCGTTTATCGATATCGTCTCTCTGCGGCCTGCCCATGTTGATCTCATTTGTTGCTGAATGATGTGGCGTTGCTGCTTTCACACTGGTCAATTTCAATAGTACTGGAGGAATACCATCAGAGCCACTGGAATACTCATTCTTCAAACTTTGAATACCCTCAAAAACTTCAATTGAGCTTAGATGGAGATTATTGATGTCAACTAGGTGTTTATTTTGAAATGTGGGCATGTTACTATTATTATCAGAATAGACAGTTGAGAAACAGTCAGCAAAAAGATCTACAATGTCTGGGCCATTCGTACAGGTGGTATTATTGAGGTGCATAGTGTTTGGGTAGGAACTAGATTTGCGTAAATTATTCATATACTTCCAAAAACTGTTAGAGTCATTTTGAATATTCCTTTCTGTATATTCCAGATAACTGAGGTAAGATTGTTCATTCAATGATTCACACTGTGAGCGAAGTGTACAAAATTATTTATAATAATAAGGAGAGTTTGTGTCTTTCTAGTTCTTATGAGCCATTTATATCTAGAATGTGTATATTTTCATTAGTTGCTGAGAAATATGACATTATTGGTGCTTATCAGTATATCACGTCCGAGATCACATCATGGTAAAAAAAGTGCAATTACTTTCATTATTGAAAAAAATAAATTTGAGGTGATTTTAAATAATGAATGACTCCATCAGATATTATTTATACATGGAAAAATCATAATAAAATAACAGTAGATATGTGGGGTAATTTCAGCTAGTGATACAACTCCATTGACACTGAGAATGAATACCTGTGCTGGATACCACGATCCCAGAGCTATCAGACCACAAGCAAAGATGTGGCATATTATAAAGGATCACAGGCTCTTCAAAGTACAGATTCACAATTAAACCCTCTGTCATTCTCTTGGTCAACCCAGTGAAGAGCATTGAAATACATTCATAAAAAGTAAGTATCAGTGGGCATCAGTTTATAAATCTGAATTAACGTCACTACTTCAGCAGGGCTGACTTCAAGAATCACAAGGTAATTTCAAATTATACTTCTTTGAAGATTGGAAATGGTCAGCTTCAGGATTTCTTGAAAAATAAATTGGAAACCGACAATAGAATTTTTTATCAATGACAAACAAGAATTTCTATCAAGTTCAAAAAACATCATGTGTACCTATGGAGGATAGGGAGGAAAGGTAAGTATTGTTTTTTTTTTCAACTTTTGGAGATTAGAAGTTCTTGGAAATGCTTCCTTTGGGATAGAATGCTAAAGCTTTGACATTCTATAGACAAATGAGTTTTGGTGAAGAGTTGTTCAACATATTTCAAGAGAAAGGATGTGCTGACTAGACTTGTTAGGTACATACATTGCCCCTGGAAGGATCCTATGATGTTCTAATGGTGCCAAAGAATTAGAGTAGGGCATAACACACCAGCCAAATGGCTTATCTCTGGATGGAATCTAATAGCATGAGCATATTTTGGGTGCTGAACCCCATATGTGGGCTGTATTTGTGTTTTATATATTATGAAAAGCCTTTGAGTATTACTAATGGAAATACCCAGCATAGATATGGTGGACTTTGTGGGAATGGTGGTTCCAGACATTAATATATCAGGCATACTGATTTCCGCCTTCCAAGAGAAAAACAGCTTGAATTTTGGTGGCATTGAATTCTACTAGGTTGTTGATTCCCCAGGCTCCCAGGCTGTAATATTAGCAAGATCACAGCATTGACCTGCCTTTGTCATGAGTTTTTATGGTTTCCTAATTCCTTAATCATTGAGGTAGGGTTTTGAAATTTGCAGGACAAAAAGATGAAGTCAATTATGTGGGTGCTTCCATAGGAAGTGAGACAAAATTTTATTTCTCAGAACTGAAAATTTTCGAGAAAAAATATGAATAGAAGTGAATTGGACATCCTGATTTCAAATCCCAACTGATTTTCAACATATCTTGCCTCCTAATATCATTTTCCGGTAATGTGGGTGATTCCATGGCTGTTGGCAAGAAGTGTATATCACTGAAGAGTGAAGATCCACTCCACTTGGTCATAGTGTGTAATTTCAGTATATGTCCCACTCTGTAAACTTCAAAATCCTTACTCTTTTAAATGGGTGAAATACATTAAAAAATGTATGGCATACCGGCTGGTTTCTTAAGTTTAACAAGGTGGTGCAATTTCATGAAATCATCAGTTAAATGTAACAATAAAAAAATGTATGGTATGCCGGCTGGTTTTTCAAGTTCAACAAGTAACGGTGGTGCAATTTCATGAAATCATCAGTTACATGTAACAAAAACTACTATAGAACATTTTAAATGGCATAATAATTACTTACAGTGTTGAGAAGAAGTTGAATACTGCAGGAATATGTTGAAACTATTTTGAATAGTCAAATAATCGAATAGGTAAAGGCGACAAATTGTCACACTCCACGACCACGAGTACAAGACATGAAAATAAGCAAGTTGAAGTAGTTGAAAGTGAAAGTAGAAAAAAACTACAGCCCGACTGACACGAGTGACATTTGACTTGACAATTGAGACAACTACGAACAGTTGACATGACAGGGCCAAGGTTGGTAGAACTGATGACTATTTTGTAGAGGAAATTATAATCAGTTCTACCAACCTTGGACAGGACCACAGTAGAGGGATTTTAAGGTGAGTTCCCAACGCACCGTTTTTGCTCAACGCGTCGCGCGTCATGCAACCTATTTATGAGGCGAATCATGCTAAGGAATACGCCCTCTACCGTTTTCTAAAATATAACTATAACGTATGGGCCATTGATTGCTTTGTTTACATCAGTTTGCATGTGTTTTATATGAGAAGTAGTTGTGTTTGAATCGTCTATAATTTTGTTTGAGAAATTTTATGAACGTTTAAAAACATGAATCACTATTGTTGTGTTCCCCATTGTCCATCTTGAGCAGAAAAATTCCGAATATAGCTTTCATACCTTTCCAGAATCAGGACAACCCTAAGTTGTATTTGTAGCTAGGTTGGAAAACAATGAAGTGATCCATAGAAGAAAGATGTGAATTCATATCTTGAAGATTGGAAAAAAAGTGTCTGAGCATATTATGAAAGATCATTCTTTTCACTTTACTGAAAATTTACCCATATATCTCCATATATTATAGGTATATGAATGATGGAAGTAAGATATGGTGTAATTACTGATGCGCTTTTGTTTCAGAAATTTCACTCGACCTCTCGAGAACAGCGAGAGCAATGGTTCTGTCGATCTTCTAATAGATGGCGATATTGCACAATTATAACAAATTATAACATCTGTCAGTTTTGAAATTGTCGCAGATTTTTCGAATTGGGAGTTGGAAAATCCCACTGTAACATATAATCCGCCTACCTAAAATGCCATTTGCCATTTTATTTCCACTCGTCACAGCAGCAACAAGGTTGGTAGAACTGATTATAATTTGTACAAAATAATCATCATTTCTACCAACCTTGAGCAGCAATAGCAGCATCACCATCTAGCGGGAAAATGTAGAATCAACGTCTCGAGGGTTGCCAATTTGTGAGTTATAACTCACATTTGTGAGTTATTTCAGGGACTGTGAGTGATTTTGTGAGTTGATGGCCAATTGTGAGTTATTTGTGAGTTATCTGAGGTCAGTGACATTTGAGTCGGAAATCCACGTGTTAAAGACAGTAATTTATTTTTTCATTCATTTCTCATTCATTCGAAAATATACGCGCCGCCACTGAAACTTCAACGTTCATGAACAGGAAAAATAGAAGAAGACAGTGACAGGACGGACAGGGTGACAAGTGACAGTCTGACAGCACAGCTGACAGTATGACTAGTATGACGTATGACAGTGACAGTATACGAGATACCTGCAGTGGGACTCTGTAACTCAAAGCGAAAGCGAAAGCATGCGTAATCGACTGCTTTTGCCGTTTCGGTACTCTGTATCAATATTCGGATGAGGTCGGAGACGCCGAACGTGAGTTCGTAAGCGAAGCAGAAGCGAAGGATTTTGGTTGCCGCTAAGATGTTGCCGCTTTCTGCGATTCTCAACGATTGAGGTTATAGGTATTGGTTTTTGTTGTTGTTCCTAGTTCGAACTTTGTGTTGATTTGAGCAAAATAATAGATTAATAAATGAGGAATGAACCCAAACATGGATAACAAAGAAAGTGAGCAAAAACACAACTCAGTCAGTGGGACAGTTTCCTCAGTTTTACAAACAAAATCCTAAAGATATTCCAGAGAGATGGAAGTTCCCTTTGGTAGGATTAAGGTAGGGGATGAAAGAACGTGAGACGTGAGATAAAAAATATGATAGACAGTGTGATGAAAACATACAGCTCATTTGGTAGTTGAAAAATAAACTGAAAACTGTCATTAGTGCTGTTGAATAGGGTCTGGAATAATTCATATTTATTCGAATTATCCTTCTCTTTTAGATTCCTGATACATCAAAACAGGCAGATATAAGTAGCTTCTCCAAAAAATGAAATGTGCCATTACTGAATGTTGTCTCACTGAATCCTTGTTAAGAAAAATATGTCTTTGGTGTGAGTCCATTGAAGAAGACAATAATAGGTAATTAAAGAATCCTACTAATATAATATGCCGATACCTACAACAGTGAAACAAAAACAGAAAGCCTGGAACGTTCAAATTTGAAAAATTTGCATAATAAGTGCATTGGAAGGGAAAATAATTTGGATAGCAAAAACCTTGGAGACACCCAAGAAGAACTGTGAACTGTGTAATATTACTGTGTACCAATAAGGGAGAATCAAGAGTAAATTCCATGAAACAGGATTAACTGAACATTATTTACTATGTTAAACAAGAACAAGAACGGATTCTACATTCACTACATTAATAATTCCATCCAAGATTCTAAAGTGAACTGTAAGAAAAAGTGCATCTGTATAAATGCACTGTCAAAATATAGCTGCCTTGCAGAAGGCGATTCAAGGAATTATATGTGCTTATCATCTTGTTTAATTTGCTACATAGAGAAGTAAGTTCTGATAGGTATTACATTATAGTATGTAAATAATAATATACTGAGTGTTAGATTGTAGAATGATATGTCCATTATAAATATAAGCAGTTACATATCTTACAATATTATTGTTATTCTCAGATCATTTGCCTTTACTAGTTGCATATAAATAGAAAGCTATACCTGAGATATACCTAGTGAGAATATGAATACCAATCTTTTATATGAACAAAGTAGGTACATATTTTCCAATGAGCTGCTCTGTGCAGAATAAGTTCTTGTTTGGCTGATTACTATTTTTGTTGGCCTTGATGTCAATATCTGTTTGTAGTCAATACATTCATTCCATTTCATAGAAATAAATCATCTTCATATGTGTTTCTGATGTTTTATTGAATTTCTTTTCTCTCAGAAACTTCTCCAAGTGCTTTATTTCTGATTGAAACCAAAAATTAACAATACAATAATTCGTAAATGCCGCTTTTTTGATCCAATGGGATGTTTCCTTTGAATAAATGGGATCCGCAACACTGTTGCCAAATTTGACTCCACAAACTTCGTTCTATTTCGTATGAAATCGTATGACGATAGCGAAAGCATAACGAACTACTTATAGAGTACCGGAAAGCGAAGTCATATACTTCGCTTCGTTTCGCTTTCGCTACGCTTTCGCTATGCGACACAAGTTACAGAGTCCCACTGCTGCAGTGCTTGATGTGCTGTGCACTCTGCATTTAATTAATTTTCAAGTCATTAGAACAATGTGATAATAATGTGACCTGTTCTGTTAATTTTTCACATATATATCATTATGTATATGTAGTCCTAGTTTGTTTTTATTGAGATGTGTATCTCAGTTTTTATTCAATTTCAAATGTTTATATCAAATGGTTTTTTTTATGTTGGAATCATTTGGATATCATTAGGTTCTTGTCCATGATTTTAGGAAGTAAACATGATTTTTTTGTTATTATTTTGAGATACATTGAATGAATAAACTTATTTTTTTTTCCTGTTATTTGTTTCTATATTACTATAAGAGGTTATTGTTATTAATGTTATTTTGTATTTTCGGTCTCAAGCTGTGTCTCAAGCTCATGGAGTCAAGGAGCTGGCAATCTGTCACTGTCATCTGTCAAAACCCTGTTCTATTTTTTGACAGTTGAGAGTATTTGTGGCAGAAAAAGGCAGACGTTATAAGTTTGTGTTATCAAATTTTCCTTTATTTTGTATCATTCATTTATGAAAAATCTGCCTTGATGTTGATATTTTGATGGTTGTGAGTTATTGTGAGTTATTTCACATTTTCTTGTGAGTAAATCATTGTACACCTGTTGGCAACCCTGCCGTCTCGCTCTATGTGACGTAGAGAAATCATAGTAGGCGGTTGTTGCCAACACGGCTTATTTACGGCTAGAACTGGCCTTTTCAAGAGGTGATCTGGAGGGTTAATGTTGGATCTGGCGGCTAACGGATAATTTAACCATTTGAGAAACCTCTAATGCTTTTTTCTGGCCTTATATAAATCAATGTTCAACCGAACAACGTTAATCTAGAGTTACCCACCATTTAAAGTAGGTACACGACTTTTATGATTCTGCCACTTCTACCACAGAATAGTAGGTGATGCTATTGCTGACTAAACAATAGGTCTTTTCATTTAGATGACAAATGACAATCGTTGTTTACATCTCGCCTCCAACGACAGTGGCGGCGAAAATTTTTTTAAGGAATTATTCAAATTATTGTTGTTGACATTGACATTTCTTATTTAATGTTGATCAGGAGAATAATGTCCATGCAGAAAAAAAAATCGAAATAATATCATGTTGAAGAAAGCAGGAAATAATGGAACAAAATGTACACAAGGTTTCTACAGCAGAATGATCAAGTAATAATAGTTTTCATCTAGTATTTATTCTCCACTGAGCACCATTGACGACATGAAAAATAAAAATACAACTTTACCAGGAGCCTCTCATTCTCAATGAAACAACTCTGGGGCTTAATTTACCGAAATGAAGGGAAAGCAAAGAATAGTACCTCTCCTCTTTGGGGAAAGGCTCACTACCTGATTCAGGTAATATGTGGTAGGTCTAATCTACATGATGTATTTTTTTAAATGTAACTACACTCTCAATCTGGAGGCTTATTTTCCATGCTGTTCTTTTATTCGTCTGAGCTAATGACTATTATTGAAGTATGTAGAAAAGGTTCAGTTTAGGAGGAACATTCTGATCTTGGTGTGCATGAAATTATTTGGAGGCTTCTTGATGCTGTTACTGTAAGTGGAATGGAAGCTACAATGACTATTGAAGTATGTGGAAATAAAGGTTCATCAGTTTAGGAGGAACATTTTGATATTATGGTGTGCATGAGAGTTTTAATATCAGGCATTGATGTTATACAAAGGGAGTCAGTAATAATTTTCATTATATTTTGAATAAGTACTTATTACATA